CCTGCTGTGGCACAGCGTCTTTCTCATGGCTGTGATCTGTTTCTGAGCCCTCTTTGTAAGCTCTCTAGGGTAGGACCAGTTGTTTTATGTCTGTCCAGTGCCCCACACAGTGGGGTTCTGCTCCATGGCTAGGGCTCCGAGGTGCAATAATATTGGTTTGGGGTAGATCACACTCCCTTTAGCCCCCAGACAAAGAATGTTCTAAGGATTGTACAGATGTGGTGGTTGGGGTGACCTGAATTATTTTGCCATTGATACGTCTTCAAAATCCAGTTACTTTTCAGATAGGAACCCTTGCCCCAGGGACTGGGTGTTGGAGGGATATCTCAAAATAGTGCACACCTACAAATAAGGATAAACTGAAGAATAATGTTCCCCATCGTGTAGTTAAATGTTTGAAGCTGTGCACCATGTATTGGGGAACAAATAGCCATGTCAGCCCTTAGAAGAAACTCTATCTCAATGTGCATACTTGTCTGCAGCACCAACATTTGGGACAGATGCACATACTTCCACATTAATAGCATTTTGCAAACATTTTTGTGGGTTTGTTCTCATAAGACTTGACTGAGTGAGGCATTCCAAAGATTTACAGGCCTGAGAATCTTTCTGGGATGGGAGGAATGAGATTGTTTTGGTTTTCAGTTAATTGGAATAAAAGGTTTTTTATTTCTTTCATTAATATTAAGGCATGCTCTTCCTGTTCCCTCCCGCTTGGTCCTGCATCTGAAAGATCGGGGAGGGGCTCTGCTTTTCCCAACTGGGCAGAAACAGTTTGCAAGCTTGGATTTAGTTCTATCTTGCATGCACACCTCTTCATTTCTTAAGAGTAGTTAACTTCATCCCTTGGTCCTTACATGGAATTTGCCACCCCTTTGGATAATCATACCGTTTGGAGTAAACATGCAGTAAGCCGTGGCATTTCTTTTGGGATTGTAATTGCTGAGACTTAATGGGGAGAGGGGAGGAGCACTGCTTTGGTTGCCCTACAATCTCCCTTTCTTCTGTGTTGGTTCCCATATTCTACCAGAGAAATGCAATACCCTCTAGAACCATGAATATATTGATAAATCTATCCTTCGAGAGCTTTATTGCCTCGATTTCAATTTTTGTTCCCATCTCTTGTTTTTTTTTTCATGCCTTTAACTTCATACCATGTTCTCATTTTTCTCTTCCACTGTTGTTACGCATTCAGTGTCCATCCGTCCCCCCACTCTCTTGCCTCATTTTCCCCATATGAAGTCTCTTCCCCACATTGTCCACTTCCCCCCCCTCCTTCCTTCCCAATCTCTCTGCTCTTTCTAACAGCCTTGGCATGCAGTAGCTGCTCACATACTGGCCTAGTTCAGGGCACTAGTTCAGTACAGGGTCTTCAGTGGATCAATTTCTCAGCTTCCTTGGCTGCTTATGATCCCATGTGGACTCCTAGGCCATGGTTCTAAAGTCCTTCAGCACCCTTCCCACTTGGCACTCTTGCAGGGTCTCTTGTCTTCCCTGTGAACTGCTCTTGTTTTCACATGAACGTACACCTAGACTATGCACACAGCCAGCGCCAGTGAGCCTCCCAGCCCAAATCGATAGCCTTTAGAGTGCGAGTCTCGCTAATCAGAGATGTCTGTGTAGACAGGACTTTGAAGTTGCAGCTTGGGCTCTGAAGCCTAGGGAGAAGGGTGGGCTTCAGAGCCTGAGCCACAACTCCAAAGCGCTGTCTTCAAACCAATTTTTAGAGTTCTAGCGTGAGCCCCGCTAGCCTGAATCTGTTGACCTGGGCTGGAAGGTTCACTTCTGTGGGCTGTTTAGACATACCCTTAGAGAGAGAAGTAGCTCAGGAGGTAACTGGAAGGTCATTGGTATTCACCAGTACATCTGGATGGCGTATTGAGTCCTGGGATTGCAGAAGCATTTCTCAAAAACTCACAGTTGGGGATGTTGGACGCATTCTTATTTCTGTCCTTTGCCTCCCACCAACCCTTCCGCCCCCCCGTAAATTGAAGAGTGCATTTCCTCCTGAGCCTCTGCAGTTCCTTAGCTTCTTAAGCAGCACACGAACGGTTTATGAAGCCACCAGAGCCTCATTTGAATTCCATCCTTCCAATCCATTATCCTGTGTGTACATGTAGATGTTTATGATGTAATGATCTGTTACTGCCTTAGCCTGGTGAATCTGCATAGATATGAAATAGGATGTTAAAGGAAATCCATATTTGTGTCTCTACTGGAAATTTACAGTATACTTTCATACACCCACTTCAAGTGTAGGGATATTTTGCATTATTGCAATCACTTCTGTTCTCACTATTCCAGTACAAAGCAATAAACCGATAAGAATGTAAGCCCATCGTTCATGATCAAAGCAAAATATTTCCCACATGCTTTGAGATTTGGGGAAGGTGGGGAGAATTTCCATCATTGTAAGGACTAAATGGGGAATTGGATTCAAATTAAAGTTGTAAACTCTTCAGAAGGCTGATTCACTATTAAATGCCCAGTTTTTCTTGTTCTTCAAAGAGAGGATTCCATAAACTGTTCTTCTGATTTCTTGTTTAATTAGTAGTAAGAGAAGTAAATTAGTATTGCAATTGACTATATGGAAACCTGTTCAGCACTCTGAGGTTTTTTAACTGTCACATTGTTTCTCATAGATTTATATCACATTTCAGAGATGACTTGAAAAATACAGGATAAGCAATTGGGTAGAGAGACACTTGAATACAGTTTAAAATTATGACATTATATGGGGATGGAGCTCAATGTAATAGTTTAATATTTATTATTCTGGACTACTAGATATCTTAATGCTATTGACCTATTGTATGTAACAAAGTACTCTGATGGGAATAGTGTTACAAAGTTAATGTGTTAAATCTTAACTGAGCTTTTGAATTGGATAGTTTACTTGTATTTGGGTGTGAATGTGTTAGTCTGCTTTTGACAATCTCTAAAAGTCATTACTAGACAGGATAATGTGATACATGATGATAGGTGTTTTCCTGGGCTTTTGGGCTTCTGATCAACCCTTCCTCCTCCCCTCAGCTTCCTGCAGTGAAGAGTCGGCCTTATTTCAGCTCTAAAATATTCACTTACTGGACTTCTGAATGAACGGTCCTGGCTGCCTAGCTCTCGGAAGGAATCCTTTCAGATTCGTTCTGCAGTATCTGTTCCTTCTACATACTGCCTTTCTCCTGTTGCTGTTGCACATTTCTGAAGTTAGCAGAGACTATGTTGGTCGTTTCAGTCTCTGGCCCTCTGATTTTTCACTCACATTTAGTGATTATGTGCATAATTCTGAGTCACTGCTAATGCGCCAATATAATGCTACAGCTGTTATGGTTAATAATCAGTTGGCTAATATGTTATGGATAAGTGCTAATAACACAAATTGACTGGCTAATAGTAATGATTTCTCTTTATCCTTGACTACTTTTATAGTTCCACAAGGGAGAATCTACATAGATTGTTCATAATGTCATTCTTTAAATGTATGTGGAGTAAAGACTATTGTAGTACTGTGCGCTGGGAAGTGACAGGCTTGCCTCTCACATACATATATGCGTTGTAGGGATTGATCTCATTTTTCTCTAGGAGGACACTCTATTGACCTTCAGCAAATTAACTAGTTGTTAATTTCAATCCCTTCGGTTGTACCTGAGGAGGGACATGCTTTCTGTAAACGTACCATCATACTACAGCATGTTAAAAAGGTAACTGGACCAGACTTAAACATAAAAATCATGCAGTAGATGGTAAAATTTCAGAGCCATAATTTCTATTTGGGAACTTATCACCCCTCTTACCAGTAATAGCAGTCACAGGCCTAGGGTGTCTGTGACTTCATGATGGCACTCCATGTGTGACCGAACCCTTGTGTTGCCTCTGTCTTCCACAAAGATGGCAAACACACATACGAGGCTAGATGGAGCAGGAACTCCTATGTCAGTACAGGAGGCAAATGTAGGAAATGTTCATAAGGCCTTGAGCCCCGTGGAAGCCAGGAAACCAACATAGGTCTGTCTGTCTGTGTTTGTTTGACCGAATGGGGGGGGGAAGGATAACAATCTGAAGGGAAATCCAGATTCTCAGTTTGAATTTTTAGATGAAGTCTGAAGAAAGTGTCTTCTGTAGTGACATCTGTAGCAACTGATGAGAGCCCTACTAGTTGTCAGTGAGAAGTAATTTCCCTGCCATTGCAGGGGCCTCGAGCACTGGTGCACCTCCGTTCCTCCCGTTCACTGCCTGTGACACGCAATAGTCTAGTCTCCTTTGGGTCTCATTTCAGTTGTTGGGTTTAGGGTGCTGTGTGGTGGGGATGGCCTCTGATATGCAAGAGGTCAGACTAGAAGATATAATGGTCTCTTCTGGCCTTAAGCTCTAACTCTGTGACATAATTGACAGAGGCACTAGGGGACTCTACCCCACCTCAACAGGAGGAGGAGAATTAATGACTCTGGAATGCTAAAGCTTGTGGCATTCCTGTCAGTCACATGCTGTGAACATGGACCCAGGTGATGGGGAGCTACTAGACTGTCTGTCATTATTGTTGAGACCAGGTGGGTGAGGTAATATCCATTATTGGACCAACTTCTGTTGGTGAGAGAGACCAGCTTTTGAGCCACACACAGCTCTTTGGGTCTGGGAAAAGGACTCTGAGCATCACAGCTAAATACAAGGTGGAACAGATTGTTTAGCATAAGTAGCTAGCATGTATTCTAAGGGACCGTTCAAGGAGAGTGGCCTGTTAACACCTCTGCCGTTATAGGACAAAAAAGGGGGTTAATCAGTTACAGATTTTTGTAATAATCCATAAATCTAGTGATTACCTCACCGACCTTGTGTCTCTAATATTCTGGGACTGACCATGGTTACAACAACACTGTAATTATTATTCTCAGAGGTAGTAATCAATCTTCTCCAGGAAACTGGTCCTAGAAAACTCTCTCAGTACGCACTGATCACATGTAAAAATCTGTTTCTAATCTTATTCCCTTGTCTCTTCCCCTCAGGAGTATAAACAGAAGCTTGCTCGGGTAACCCAGGTCCGCAAGGAGCTGAAATCTCACATCCAGAGCCTTCCAGATCTGTCGCTGCTGCCCAACGTTACAGGAGGCCTGGCACCTTTGCCATCTGCTGGTGATCTGTTTTCAACTGACTAGGACTAATGGTGCTCGCATTTACTAATTCCCCTTAGTACCAGCAGAAGTAAGAAAACTCTCATGTTGACTGGAAATCCAGTCTTCCAATGATCTACCATAGGAATGAACATACAGACCCTACTTTCAACCTACCAGCTGCACATGCGTGCTCTCTGTGTACAGTGTCTCATGTTGAGGGGAAGATGGAGAGTGTGTATGTCCATGTTCTGAAGGGAGTGGGTATAGAGTCCATATATATTTTGAAAAGAAACTTTTCTCACCTTTTCTGTACTCAGATTTGTTTCCGTTTGCTCTTAGCACTTGTTACTCCCACAGAAGTCCATAAGAATCATGTACATATACCTTGAAAGTTTTCAAAGAAATGTTGTGTTTTTCTCTCTAAAAGTGTCTGATTATTTCTGAATCTGTTTTGTGTGTGTTAGTTGGGTTTCTGACGTTCAAATCTATAAGCAGTAGAGTGGCTAGTGTGCTTCATGGGGGCGTATGCATGTGTGGACTGTACCATACTGGGATCAGGGGGACATGTCCACAGAGCAACAGTACAGTTAACCTTTTGTTAAATCGATAGTTGCTGTTACTGTTGTAGGAATGACCTCAAGGTGGCTCCTATTTGGTATGGTGCATATGTACATACACTGAGACTCGCACTATGGGCGATAGAAATGAACAGCTTGTTTTTGTGAGTTAGAGATAACTTCATAACTTGCACTGTGTGGAGCAATGCAGAACTGGTTACTAAGCATGAGTAGAAGTGAATTTTATTCCAACTCCCTTGTATTATATTTATACCACATTTTCCCTCTGTATTAGATAAATGTAAATGCTACAGAAGTTTTAACTAGCCAAGAGGTTGGAGTGGTGGAATAAAACTAGTGATATCTCAAATAGGTACTGTAACTTTCTTTGTGAACTTGAGAATGGCTATATTGAAAATCTTGTTCTATGAATTTTGTCTCCTTAGGTTAAATAAGTGAATTTATTTGATGGACTGAAGTTAAATGTGGTATAAATATTTTATTTATATAGCGTATCAACATATACAGACCTGTATGTATATGTATACACACATCCTGTATACCATAGATCAGTATACATGAGCATGTATATATTGGGAGGATGTATGTATTTTCGCATCACACATTAATGTGAGTTGATTTTTTCCCAGTAAAAATCGAAAAACAAATTTAAAAAATACTAATTCTAATTCCATGATCATGCTAGCTAATGGTATAACTACCATGGATGTAGTTAGCTTTAAATGTTTGTGTATTAGTTTTAGCAAGCAGGCCTGCCTGCTCCATTGCAAACCATTCCAATCTGGCAATTTTGTTTTAATTTAAACACTTCTTGCTAAGGGCATGTCTTCACTAGCAATGGGGCAGTGCTTTAACGTGGCTGTGTAGTCGCGTCATCAGTGCTGGTGCACTGTCTCTCCAAGCGCTATAAAAAACCCACCTCCACAAGTGGAGTAACTCCCAGCGCGGGTGCACTGTCTACACTTCCACTTCAAAGCGCTGAAACTTGCAGCGCTCGGAGGTGTTTTTCACACCCTGAGCACGAACGTTGCAGCACTGTAAAGTGCCAGTGTAGACAAGGCCTAAGACTTCACAAGCTGCTGGAAACACTTGATTGGATATTATAGGTTCTGTAATACAGAGGCTGAAACCAGTAAGGCAGAGTGATGTGCTTTGTTTGTGCCTCACTGTGGTCTTAAGCTGCTCTTTTCAAAGACATGAGAGGAAACCTATAGAAATATGAAGCTTGTTCTTTGTGCTCGTTAACTTATTTTACAGGGAATATAATGGCTAATTCAGCATTCAGTGAAACCGAATAAACTAGCATTTCTGGTCATTTAGTTTGTGAAAAGTTCATGCACTTCATTTTGGCCCTTTATTCTTGCCTCCTTACTGCCCATCTGTGGAATCTGTTTTCCCCTTGTTGTAGAGGAGAATTCCTGGGGGCAGAACTACATTCTTCCATGAATTAATGTGATTGGAGAGCCCTTTATCTGAATGTTTGGACCATAAAGTGTTCTATGCTCTCTCTGCTTTTGCCAAAAAAACCCAAAAGAAAACCCCAAACTCTCAAACACACAAACCAAAAGATGCATTTCTATCCTGTCCCAGCTCAGTGGAGTTAACCCCAGACTGTATTTTATTTAAATAACTATTCTTGACCTATAATTTGACTGCATAACCATTACAGGACAAAAATGAAGCAAAACTGTCATAGAAATTATGTAGACAAATGAGTGTTGGCATCTCAAACTGCTATTTTGGGCGGATTTTCTGTGAGAAAGTTGTATGTTTGTTTTTTAAATTGAAATGCTTTGATTTTTCCAAAAAAAAAAGTGTGTGTTTTACTTTATTTTGCTTAATTTAAATAGTCTTGTGGTTTTTATTGACGGGGGGGGAGGGGGGGAAGAAGGGCAAAGGATGCCTGGTGAACTGGGTACAACTTCCTCAAACAGTTTCCCCAAAGTGTCTCTTTAAAAAAAAAAAAAAAAAAAAAAAAAGGAGCTTAAATCTGTATATGAATTGATCTAGGAATTAATTTAGAAGCATAGGCTGCCATTTTGGCAGCAGTATATTCTGAAATGTCTCATAGATATCTATTTTTGAATAAAGAGGGTGTTGTTGAATGGTACTGGGTTTATTTTATTCAGAGCTTGCATTTTGCACTGGCACACCCCAGGCTTCGCTTTGTTTAAAGCAGTAAGATCCATGTGCAGTGGCTACTAGAGAATTCCCACTTTGAGGAGTTCTGCAGCTGTGAAGTATCATTTGAACTTGGCAAATTGACAGTCACCCTTTAACTGCTTACCGGCCACACTTGTGTATGATTGTCTTAGATCATCACCACACCAAAGACCCTCTACTCAATGGACTAACTTCTGCTTAGAGGGGCAGAAGGTTGGGAGACAAATTCAATCAACAAGTAATCCCGGTTGCACCAGGAAACGTGTAATTAACTAACTACACTGTAACTAGAATGCTATATCAAGAACTGTGGTTATAAGAGTTTGTGATACTGGGTAGTTGAGGCACTTTAGCTTTAGAGAGGGTGGTATGAAAGAGAAAACATAGAAGTTGTGATATTAGTTCTTGCATAATGTTGACCAGAGTGTGTGAGAGATGCTTATGGCAAGGTTCTTCAGCCTAGTTGACTTCTGAGTTTAAGGATGCCTTCAGACAAATTTAATTAGCAAGGGGTGCATCTACATTGCAGATAAGGCTTAAAGGTTGGAGAGTAGCCATACATATTCTCCTGCCTCTCAGATTTTTATACCAGCTTGAGAAGTCCTGTAGTCTGTGGCATATTTAAAATTCAATGCTACTTTCTTTACTGTGAAAGGCATTCAAGGTGGACATCCTTCCTGTGAATAAGAGGAGACCTGTTTCATTTCCCTGCTCACTTGAAAATTCTTCATCTTCTGGTGATCTTAGGAACTAGAAGGAAGATTTTTTTTCAAGGGCACAGATTGCAGGTAGGTGCCACCTGCCAGACACACCTCTGGAGATTTTCATCTTACAGTTCTCCAAAAAAGACTTGGCTTGTTCACAACTTCTTTCATACTGTTCTCTACTTCAGCATATTCTGTAGCCTTCGCCAAAAACCTAACCATAAGATAATGCTAGTTAAAAGGCTAATACCAATATTTCACACCTTCTCTGGAACGGTGGAGGGGAAAAAGAAACTTGGGCGTTGACAGCTCAAGGATTTATGTAATTTTGTGAAGTGCTCAGATACCATGTGATCATGGTGTCAATAAAATTTAAAACAACTTTTAGCTTCCACACAGGAGTTAGAGAGGAAGTAGACTCTGGAGGCTTTGTGTTTGCCCCTTGTGCTACATGAGAGCATTAATATGTTTAAAAAGTATTCTGATGCTAGGAGAAATGAATAACCTAAGTACTTTACTCAGTCTACTGTCCAGGAGTCCATATATGGTGTCCTTGTGCCCTATTCCTGCCAATAGCAAACCTTGGAAGTGCAGCATTGGAGAGTAGGAGCCTCCATGTGGTTTTGAAGTCAAGAATAAGACTTCAGAATTTAGGAGCCAATCTCCTTTCAAGCTGGGGAAAAAATACATGTTGTAACCTTTTTAAAAACATAGTCCCAGTATGCCAGACGTCTCAAGTGATTTTG